GTATAGCAGTATTGTACTGACTGTATAGCCAATCCATCCTTAATTGGTTGAGAGATCTAAAATTAAACGTCAAAGCTTTTTGTTGTTGTATTATAAAGAAAATTGTTGGTTTAAATTATACATTTTAGAGTAGAGTAGTATTTTTAGTAGACTGTCAGTCTATTAACGATGGTCCATTTTTAACAGCATTTAAAGGTACTTTAGTGGTCATATAATTAAATTATTTTAAAACGGTGATTGAAAGTAACATTTAAGTGAGTTGCAACAATTTCAACGTACTGGAACATCATAAAACGACGTAAGACTTTTTTCCATCTAGAATTCGTCCCACTGTGCGCTACAGCATCGGTGGAGTGAGAAAGGACACATGCAACGTTCGAATAGAGATTGGCTCGTCATTGGACGATCGATCGATGCGACAACAGGGAGGATGACGACGACGAGGACGACGACAATGACGACGGAATATTACGTTTCACGGCGCAGCATCGACGCCCACGATTAACGAGCGGTGTTGATGATAACGCCACGCCTACGTGCCACGAGTTACGTCGCGTGTCCGTTTTACGAGGCCATTCTCAGTGCGCGAACGTGAGCCGTCCCGAAATCTCGTCAACGACGTATTCGACGCGGCACGAAGAGGCGCGGAGTGAAACTGTCGCGATTCCACGCCGGTGAAAAATGACACCGTAATCCGTGAGCATTGTCGACGTCGTTGGCACCGGCCGTTCGTTAAATGCGGCCGTATTATTTTTCGAGAAACTTACACGGGCCCGAGGAAACGGCGCGAATGTGCGAACTTAGCAATAAATTACGCCGGCTACGCGTCGCCAGCTTTGGTCCACCTTTGCTCGGAGATATCTTTACCGAATCGCACGTTTAAACTCGGTATCCGCTTTCTTCGTATCGTCGTTGCGTAACAATCAAGTGTTATTAAAATCTTTACCCTTTATTAATTCATCTATAATCTATTAATAGCAATAGTAAATGGAATTCGTGTAGTTTTGCTCTATTATGCTGCAAGCTTTATAAATACTTTTCAAGCAGTCGATTTACTAAGAGAACCTGACAATGTTCGCAGATTTCACTTCTACTTTGTGGAGTCTGCCAAGTCGAGCTTGCTTTGATATAAAGTAGGAATTTTAGTGAAACATGTTCACGTGTAGAGAGAAACCGTTTCTAAGGCTTTTCAAATGGCCTTAATAAAATCGCGCTGGGTTTTGGGAACGCGAGGCGGATGAAACGTCGTTCGAATTTCACGAGTCGTAAAAACATGCTCCTGGTCGAAACAGAGAGCCGGATTGTTCTCCGAGATCGATATTTGACCCACATGCCACGTTTACGAGGGTGCACGAACGACCGATTAAACAGGCAGGCCTGGTTGAATTTTGTTTCCTTACCTGACCGTGTTTGTCCATGTCGTTGTTCGTCAGTTTGACCTTCTCGAAGGAGACCACCTGCTTTCGTAGCTGATCACCGGTGAACGGCGAGTCCGGGTGGACGTAGAGCCGCGCCGGCGCCGGGGGATCAGCCTTCCCAGCCACCAGCCAACAGCTACGGTGGTAAGCGTACCGGTAACGCTTGTTGTCCACAGGGACAATGTCCATCAGAACCGCGTATCGTCCGTCTGATTTCAATCCGCTGAACGACACGCGGCAAGTCGGAAACATCCGCCTGGCGAAAAATCATTAAAACGATTTAGGAACTTTTCTGAATATCTTTTTATGTTTACAGGGCACATATGTATAGTAT